ATCAATGTACTTTTAAAAGTTAGAATACTGAACATTTCCAAGTAATTTGCGAAATGTTGTTAGCTTTAAACGATACAATTTACAGTTTCTTTCCATAAATTATCATCATTTACAATAATATTGATTCTAAAATCCTTCAGAGCTAAGATGTAGGTGGAAGAAATGTAAACATATACCGGTACATGTATACGACAGTGAACAAATCATTCTTCAATAAGATATAAACATGTATCAAGAGTCCTGCCACTGATGCTAAACCATCAACAAAAAGAAAAAAAAAACAGATGGAGGTCGTTCTGTCCGTGTTTGATTTTTTAAAATGAAATATGCAAATAAATTGAATATTTTATTGACAATATTAGGCATGACAGCAAACAAAGTACCATAAACAGACACAAATCCAAGCTTTTTGTTTTATAAAAAATGATAATGTACTTTGAAATCTGCACTCTATGAGTCAGGTAACTCATGGATGCTGTTCAGAGAATTTTATTTTTAATCAACTAAATTTGATAAGCTAAACTTTAACCGTTCCCTTGGTACAAACTTAAAAATTCAACCACTTAAAATGTGTTATTCATATTTTCCTAGCAATAAACTTTGGAATAAGATTTCGTGTGTTTCATGATCAGAGTTTACGTTTCTCAACATCAGGAAAGCGACCCTTTCTTTTAGATATCTGATCAGAACTGTAATTCAAGAGTCTTGGATTTTACGTCATTGTTGATTACATATTATCGGTCAGATGTTGAAAATCCTTATTTATGAATATCATATAAAATATCTAACCATTCTTTCAAACTGACCGTGATAAAAAAAAATAGGTTATCGTAGAAAGCAATAAAAATCTTATCTGTATCTCATAACATTTCTAGCTACACCTACTGTAGTAGTTCTACGTTTTTGTACGGACTTGGAATAAATCCCATTGTAGTAAAATATGGTCAGTATTCTAGCAATGTTCTTTGGTTTGTAAAAACAATGTTATCTTTTGAAGAAATATATTTTAATCATCAAACTACTAAAGCAAGAAAGTGTTTCTCTTTTCTGAACAGATTACTAGTAGATTCATTGAATCGTTCGGCAACAGTTTGCTCACTGGTCCGACAAATCAACTGTTGCCCTCAACCCCAGTCAACAACTGTATATTGTTTAAAATATTCCAACTGATTTCGCGTGGATCGAACATTGGGCTCAATTAACTTATTCTGACTTTATTAATTTCATTTACAGCCTTGTTTCTTTACAATAATTAACGAGGTGCATCGAAATTCTCTTAGGACTCAACTGCTCAGATGAAATATGTCTTGTTTTCTGAATGTAGAACGTGTATTTTTCAATACAGTGAAACCTTTAAAACGAGAAAATCTTGAGCATTTCACAAAAGCGCGAATTCGTTTGTTTTAATGACAATTACTCTTCCATTTTTTTATTTATTAACTCCACTACTACATGTACTAGCTAGTTCCTTTAATTGCTATTCAGTGTTCACTTTTAATTTAGTGGCTTAATCTTTTAGAGAAGACACCAACCATATAACCACTGGGTTGTATTTAGACTGACTTGTTTCATACCGATTGCTATGCCTTTGTTTTGAAACGGAATTTGACTAAGGAATGTTCCGTCTACTAGATCAATACATAGGGTTTACGGCTATGTGACCGATCGGCAGGGGATTCCTTCTTCTCCTAGGCATCTGATCCCTCCCCTGGACTTTCCAGGGGTCCGTGTTTATGCTCTCTTCACATCTTTGTATTGTTTGTAGATTTTATTTTTAGATCGATAGCTGATTTTTTATCTTCTATTTTTACATTTCCATTTAACCCCCTCTCTTTCTCATCCCATAGATCGATTGTAATCTCACTTGTTATAAGCCTTTTTAATGCAACTTCATCCTTGAATTAGTTTACGTTTTATGATAGTTTCAATTTTCAAGATATCGTCATATTTGTAAACAATGTTCAAGCTTTTCTTTGATGAGAAGTATGGTGCCTCATTTAAGATGAAGACGCCAAAGCCACTTAAGGCTACTTGAGTGTTTAGATAGGCTGTAATGATGAATAATGAAAGACCCCATGAACTTTCTCTAAATGATTTGTAATAAATCTTTAAAACAACCGGCTTTATTCATTTGCTACAAATCACGTCTCATTCCTTATGCTGTAGAGCTACTATTTATTTCATACGTTTTTTTGGTTATGGAATACATCTTTTTGATCCCCCGGATCGAAAGATTCTTCGAATTTGTTATACTCGTAAGCCAACTCGCCCGAGTTGCGCAGTGGTTAGAGTATCTGCTCTACAATCGCGGGGGTAAGGAGCTGATCCTTACGTCGTGGGTTCGAATACACTACGGGACGTGGAGGCGTGTCCTTCGATTTAAACTTATAAATCGAAATCGCATGTCGCAACAGGTGTTGACGCGAACAAGAACCCTCAGTGCGCAATGCCCTGAGTGTCGTTTACGTGTATTGGTATAAAGACTTTGCAGTTCTCCTCGAGCAAGTTGTGGCTTCTCCATATGAGTGAAAAATACTCAGAGGTACAATAATATTATTCTAGATCAATGTTTTTAATACTTCATTCAATAATCTTTTCTTGACTGCTCTCTTACATTTTCAAAACAATGATATCTATATCAAAAAATCCTCCAAATATGACCATTGATTTACAGAACTTGTAAAATTTATTCAACTGTTGGGATATCATTAAAGTATAAATCTGTTTAACATCTTCTCCACCACCTGCGTCCACACGGTCGAGGACGTCGGCCATTGGTGTTGTGGAGTCCTCCGCGTCTGGATTTGGTTGTTATTCGGACATTTCTCCTTCGTCTTCGGTGAATAGTTTCCATTCTTCCGAGTAGGGATGTGTCATATGTCATAGCACCGTCACTCAAACTCAATAATTCCCCCGCAACTGAAAGCAATTTGTATATGATTTATTTCAGGATTAAAATCACTTTTAGAATTTACTCGAATGTAGAAAAAAAAGTATTATTAACTGAATTGTTTAGAATCTATTTTCTAACGATTATTTTTCAACGTATTTTGGTCTCTTATGGTTTAAGGAGGCTCATTACACCACTTTTTGATGACGTACTACACAAAAATATAAACCTCCATTGTGTCGACCGGTTTGCTCAGGGGACGAGTTGTATAGGTACCTCTATAATATGACCCTGACCTTTAAAACGCTTTTAAAATAGATGAAACATGCGGTGTTGTAAACAGTGTAGCGGATTCATTAAGCATAAACCAAGAAGAATTGCTTTTAGGCAGAAACAAAGGAAAGCAACAGTCAAATCGTCGCCAAACAAGTAATGTCAATTTCATAGCCATGCATACAGTGAACTCTATCAATCACAGACATGTATGTATGGAGGAAATTCGAGTTAAAATCTACAACCTTGTTGAAATTAAAATTTTATTTAATTGCGCTTTTTACTGTGTTGGTTTAAAATTATATATTTGTTTTATTGATTTAAATGTATACTCTGGCAATTTAAAGCTTTATTCTGAATTTTAGATGTAATGTCAAACGTTCTGAGTCTTGGCTAATTAGGAAAGATAACTCTTGAAAATGGACTTTTTATACCAAATATTTTTCATTTCGTTTAAACTTTCTTTATTCAATTTGACACATGTAATTCATTGAAATACATTCCTTGTCTCTTCAGAACACATTTTTAAAATGTTTTATGCATAGATTAAAAAGATAATGACATTAATTGTTTTCTAGGATAAAATTATTTTTTCTAATAAAATTATTATTAGGTATTATGAGGTATTTTCACTGTGTGTACTTGTCTTAAGAAGATGCCCATCATTTGACACTGAAAGTTCTGAAATTCTGTGAATAATAAACTTGAAATAAAACATTTAACTAAAATAAAACAAAAACTAAAAAATTCTATGAAAAATATTTATGATATTAATACCCCCATCTGGATATTTGACATCTACATTATAAGTGGTGCTGTATTGAAATCAAAAATAAACTGTGGATGTAATGAGCCACCTTAAATCAGAAATGAATCTATAAATACATGTAGAGAATTTGGATGTTATACTTACAAACATTCTCTTCTGTATTTTGAAAAGCGACTCGGTTTAAATGTTGTCTGGATAAGGTCCGTTGACTGGTGGATCGACTAAGTCCACACAACAAGATCAACAAGAAAAAACAAAATAACTTTCTCTGCATACCTAATACGACGAAGTGACAAATGATTTGAAGTAAAAATTGTGTTCAAGTTCACCTCTTTGTTCAGTTCTATCTGTGTCTGAATAAATTTTTATCTTATCCATCTCATGGTTTGTTTACCCCGAATTTTATCAACTATTATACAGTGTAGGGTAATCCTTGTTGTTTACATCTATGTTTACACATTTATATTCTCACTTTAACAATAAGCGCTAGATTTCTGACAACAGCAAAATTAAAAAAAAAACTTGCATATTTATATCCTTAAACTTATAAATATACATGTAGAGATCTGTATCAGATTCTATGGCATAAAAAATTAAAATACATGAATAAAAAGCTATTTATAGATCTTTTTTAATTCAGCAAATCTTTTAAATGCAATATAGACAAAAATCAAGTTTGACTGTCATACATTGGCGTCGGAAGGAAATTGAAAGTGGGGGGGGGGGGGCTAAGTGTAAGAAAAATTATTTTGTACCTCCAAAGAAACCTGACAAGCAAAAAAAAAAAAAAATGTCTATTTCCCAAACACGAAAATCCTATTTCGTGGGGGTGGGTGGGGGGGGGGGGGGCTAGGTTCGAACTCCAGTACAAAAAATTTTCTTCCAAACACCAACACTTTTCCCAATTTTAACCTATACTAAGACGTATCTGAAGAAAGCGGGGGGGGGGGGGGGGGAAATTTTGGAAGGTGTTTGGAAAGTCTATACTAAGTATATATTTGGAAAAAAAGTGGGGGCTAAGCCCCCCTAGCCCCCCCCCCCCCCCCCCCCCCCCCCCCCCCCCCCCCCCCGGTTCCGACGCCTATGTCATATGTCAACAAAGATATATATGTACATGTTCTTTATAGCAGAAGATACCTATACAAAGGTACATTTTTTAAAGGAATCTGCATTTTCAAGAAAAATGATTTATCAATATGAATTCCTTTGAATTTAAACCATAGACTATATCAATGTCAAAATTAAACCCTCTGGGGTTGAGTGCGTTTTAGCATCTTCTCCACCATCTTCGTTTACACGGTCGTTGTCGTTGTCGTCTGCCGTTGGTGTTGTACATTCCTCCGCGTCTGGAAGTAATTCTGTTTGGAAGAACCCCCTGTCGTCTGTCATTGACATTGTACATGCCTGCCCTTCTGGATGCGCTCATCATTTCTGTTCCTTCATTCAAATTATTAGTTCCTGTTGCTGTGATAAACATATTATTATTTTATCAGTCACACAATAACAACAGAAATGTAATTTGATGATTTGAATGATTGTTCAAAACACTGATTATCAAGCTTTATTGTCGACATTAGATGCAGAACTTGATCCATATTTCGACAATAAGTATATATATATATATATATATATATATATATATATATATATATATATATATATATATATATATATATATATATATATATATATATATATATATATACCTAACATAATGATTTTCAATGTATTATAATGAAAAAAACTTACCAGGACTCCCGCCACGTCTTCCACGTCCATTCAATATCCTCTCCAGAAACTGTCCAGACGATGTTCGCAGATCAATCGAAGACTGACATAGTCCAAGCACAAACAACACAACAAAACAGAAAAGTAACTTCCCTCGCATAGTTTTACAGAATCAATTTCTTTGTGCAGCGTGATGAAAGAAACTTTTGGAAGATTTGCCAGATACACCAGTCAGCTTCTCTAGCTTTATTTGCGGAATTTTTATCCTCAGATAAATTGTGAACTTATCTTCGTTGTTATCACTTGTTTTTATCAGAATTGAATTATGTAGAGTAATGAGCACCACGTTTATTTACAGATCACGTAGAGGTAAAATAAGTATACAAACTTAATCACTTTTGCATAAGTATATTAAAGTATTGTATATAATTATATCATAAACGTGTTAAAGTATTCTGGGTTAACCAACGTTAATTTTTAGTGAATCGACTACTCCGGTAATCAGAATAACTGGCCCTATGTTTCAGCAACATTCCTTGGTATGTGGTATTATATACACATGAATCATATGAAATTTAATGTATTTGATTATTGCTATTGTTCTAGATAAATAGAATATTTCTTTTGAAGAAATATTTTTCTTTAGATAATTGAAGGTTAGATATAACAATTACTAGCAAAACTTTATTTCTGAAAAAAAAAAGATTACTAGAAACGAACGCAAACAGAATCAACAAGAGCAGACTACAAATTGGAAAAGAGAGAAATGGAATATGAGGCTGACGAACATTGATCATGTCCAAAAGTCCTTTGATACGATACAAATCAGAAGCAGGCAACTCAGACCTGAGAAAACATAAGAGATGGGATCAGGTGCCATTTAGGAGTGAGAATCCGCTATCAATAATTCATACCTGCCGGATTCTGATTTTTCTTGACATAATAAGGTGAAAGGAGAAGAATCCACAGACAATGCAGTTTGATGCATCTGTAATAGCCCCATAAACTTCTACAAAAATATCCAACTATGGAGCAGACGTAGTACGTTCTGGTGTTATTTATTTCGATTTTAATTTTGTAGTTTTAAATTTCATGAGAGTCTCTGGAGTTTTAAGATTCTACATCTGATTTACACCATTTCTCAAATAAATTGTTGTATAGGAATCCCGTCGTGTTTCCGTCATTGCTGTTATTATTTTAGTGTGGGTTAAACACTGTTAAAGAAAGAGGATTTAAAGTAACTAATTACAGTGAATACTCTTGGAAAAAGTATGTAATTGAAAATGAATGTTAATTCTCAACTGGTGAGCATACAACTTTTTTTTAAATCCAGAATTAGTTAAAGCACCTAATTAAGTATTAACAAAAATGAACATTGGGTAAGCATACTCTATAGCTCCTATCCATAGATTTACAAGGTACACTATACATGTATCATGTAGAAATAATGTTTCGTTAAGAGTCAAGTTGAATTGTGTTGTCTATAACTTAAAAAACTTGAAGGTTTGTGTTAGAAAATTTGTTGTGGTTTTTTTTTTTATCCCCCAGGCAATCTAAACTGAATTTAAAAATACTTCAGAAGTATTCATTTATTCCTTATTCAACACTCACTTGTAATGTCTTGATGGTTTCTTTACTCTATTTGGATGGTACTATATTTTGTGAAATCTGTTAGATTTATGTTATATTTATGAATTTATTTGATAAATCTGTTAATTACTACTATATATTTTATATGCTTATAATTTGTAAATAAATGCATTGATATTAATTTTGTTTGGTTTGGACTTTGTAAGATCATGTTCTATTGATTCAATATTTTCTCCTCCAATCCCTTTGTTACATATGGCAATCCTTTGTCCAGTCTTTGACCAGAGAGGATTCCAAGCTGTGTATTTTATGACTTTTAACATTGACGAGACAATATTTCTCTCCGTTAAAATAAACTAACATTTATATTGTAAACTGATTCTAATATGACTTCTAATATTTGATTTAACCGTAAAGTTAAACTTTGTAATTTTGCCAAAGATTATTCCCTAGCACTTGTAAAGTAAAAATCTTATTTGTAAGAGAATATTTAAGAGTAACTGTTTAATTGACAATAGTTTTTTTGTATTTCTTAATAATTATATGTGAATATATTTATGATGATATATTTTCTTATGTAAATTATCATAATTTGTAATTTTATGATTTGGACATATTGTGAGCCCATATTACTGACTACGATAATGATGATAAATGTGAGTGGCTTAGCCTCATAGATCGGTATATTTATCTTATTAATGATTTTATATATTTTATGACAATGCTAAAAGAAGTTTGTTTAGACTATTACTGTTACGTATAGATAAGTTTTGTTGTATAAATGTTGTATAAATGCTTTATTATTTTTCAAATCATAACACTGAAAGGGAGAAATGATTGTGTTTTATTCATGTACAGTTAACTCCCTTTATGCAGCGTATCAGTTTACTGCCGAACGTTACTGATACAGATTATTTTATGCTAATAATTATTTATTTGTTATTATAATTTACAGGGCATTTCCTTGGTAATCCCATATTCAATTTCATTAACAAGTGTTCATCTGAGTAATAGTTGAAGATGTCGAACCTTACGACGGACTTATTTATATTTCCACTATAATATGACACCGTTACATTGTGATCATTATCAAATGCCAAGTTAACCAATGCATTTGTATTACACCCATGGCCAGAGTCAACAAGATCCACAGAGCTGAAACCAGGTGCTATTGTTTAATTAATTGTCTACGGATTTTCCCGATCATGACAATGCAAGGAACGCAGGCTGGTGTGACTTGTTGACAGGGGATGTTTACTCCGTCATGGCACCTAATCCCACCTCTGATGTTGTAGGAGGCCCGATTTTGCTCTGCTCCCATTCTGTATCGTTTCAATGAACTTTGAACTTGATTGTTGTTCAATTTCTCCTTATTTCATGAAAGATGTCCGTAACCAAAATATATATATATTTTTTAATTCTTGGCATAAAATTCTTATTTTGAAAATACACGTGTATTAGACAAGTTTTAAATACGGTTTTTTTTTTCAGATTCTATTTTGTATTTTATTTGTTGTTTTGAAATTTAGTTTTTTTTTTAAATTGCTATTCCTTGTATTTTTATGTATAGTTAACATCTTAGAACTGGGCATATAACATTAATGATAAGTTAATCTGGATATCAGAACTCTTTTACAAGTTTTACAAGCTACCTTTCTTACAAAAAAAAAGTTGTTGTATAAACATGTATTTTTGAATATTATAAAATTCATAACTATGCAAAATTAAAACAAACTTTAAGAAACTTAATTGTTTATTTTTTGCCAGACGTATCCTCCTGAATGCGTCTCTATTCTGTTTTGTGAGATTATATCTTAAAAAACGTTTTGAAAAACTTTAACTTCAAATTAAAATCATAAAAAATACCGATCTTTGAAAGGGCCACGTGTTTGAACGTCAGAAATACATAAGTACTCCAGGATCATAACCGTAATGATCCTATTTTACGGAAAAACACATTATCAGCAGAGGGAATGATAGGAAGGATAACCCATCCACTCACTCCTATCAAGAGAATATGCCTCCCTCTCTCTCTCTCTCTCTCTCTCTCTCTCTCTTTCTCTCAGGCACAAGTGTCTTTGATGGGACATTTTTAATAGTTTTTGAAAGTAATAATATCTTAAACGATCTTAGTTTTATAAATAAAGTTATAATTAAAATTATGTTACTGCAATCGTACATTTCCTTAACAAGGAAATTTGTAGGATTATGAAGGAACAGATTTTCAAATAATAATTGTATAAATGGATTCTGCTGACAAAATTCCAAGTTGAATGAACTCGAGTTTGCAATAATGATTGCTTTAATAATAAATACCGTATTTTAGTTAAAAAAAATTCTTGAATAAAATATGAAGATGACAAACAATAATCACGCAAAAATTTTCTTTTAATGAAATCGAATTAGGGGAAGGGCAAATATGAACCTCTAAAAACATCAGGGACGGGATCAGGTACCTTGGAGGAGTAAATGTACCCTGTTGACTAATGATATCCACCTTTCAATCTGATTAAATTCATATTGTTATGCTTCAAAATTCTTATGGCCGCTGTACAAATGCAGAGACGATCCGAATTTCGGAGCGTAACAAATAAAAGATCTAATTTGAATCAGAGTTGTCCACCGTGTGCTCCTTTGTCAAGAACTGGAAAAGCGGAAGAAAAGCGTAGACAGTGTATAAATAAAGACTTAACAATTTGTATGAAAATCCAGGTCATTGTATCAACCACAGAACTTTCGAAATGATGACTTTAAACAAAACTGTTGAAATTCTTTTTAATATATTCGATCAGTGCTTACTAACTATTCAAGACATATTACTGTAGTCAGGTACGCTTCACGCAATTGCTCCGACAAAATATAGTTCAATCATGATAAGTAGAAATACAACATTACTGCAAATGATTGGAATGATGGTGTGTATGTAATACGTTAAAGAAACCAAAATTAACGTTAAAAGAGTTTAAGAAAATCACTTTTCCACATGAAATGCAAATAAAAAAAATATTCATATTCCTACGCTAGCTGTCTCCTCAGTATTTTTCACGAAAATATACATTCCTAGATTGATAAATCTTTTCATCAACTACATGTATATTACTTTCATGATTATTGTTTATTAATTGTCATATATTTTCTTCTGATTTGAATGTTAATCATTTATTGTGTGTTGATGTTTTTTCTCTGTTTATTTAAATAATCCAGAATGGTTATATGCATTGTACAACACCTGCAATCGTAACTTCTCGGCAAAACAAACGTGTTTCTCCGAGCTCGCTAGAAGCGTTTGACAATATCTCATCGCACGTGTGTAGATCAAGGCTAACTCGTCTTGTGGGCACATGTATGTGCACTGTTTGCGAGGAGACTGGGTGACAGTATTGCTACAGACTCATGAACTGACCACCAGATCCATAACAAGTGCAGTTTTTTTTTTTCATAGAAGTCATCTGAGCGCAGTTAAAATTCGAGTTTTAAGGTAGTCCGATCCACAGGTTTATAAAATTAGCAGTTAAATAATCAAAAATACTCATAAAGATACTCCTGAATCCACAAAGTTATGTTAATTTATCCACAATATTTCTTTAAAGTTAAAGATTAAAGTTAATCATATTATATAGGGGAAATTGTCAAATCTCCAATATTTTTGCAGAAAAAGCGAATTGGAATATAAACAATGCATTTTCTACTTGTAAA